TTGTTACTAACGCATCTTTATGAAATAAATAATGCTGAAATTTCTAATTAATTAAAAATGTATTAAATTACACTGACTTCTTTGCGAAACAGCAAAGTGACAGGCCAGGGTAGATACTTTTTTCAAGGTTAACATGTAATTATAGCTAAACTATATTAATTAAGGTATTGAAATTTACTGGCAACAAAGTAAACGTTGTTTATTATTATGTATGTTTGTCATTTTCTACAAATTTTCAACTAATCTATGGTTTTTTCATTTAGACACCATTAGTACCTCTAAACGTAGAATCACCTTTACAGCAGTGCATCGAATATTCTATTGCGTCAACTCTACTGGAGCCAGGATTGGACTGGGCGAAGCTTTTTGATCATCAAATTACGTTAAAAAATTCCCAAAAATAATGAAAGGGAAATTGTATTACTTAAATTAATTGAATTAAATTTTATTTTTTCAATACTATTAGCGTGACTTATAGCCAAATAACTAATCGTACTTTAACAGGTGACTTTTTTCAAAAATAAGGGAGCGGCGCACTGGAATTTTTCCCGAATACTCTTATGGCTAGTTCAATCCTGGTAGGTTAGTGAGGATTTTTTTAAGTGCAATATTCAAAATAGAGAATTTGTAAAATTCATTTACCTATAGAAAACGATATAGTGTAAATTCACTTATTTATACCTACCCATGTAACAGTAACCTGTATAAATATGTATGTACTGCTATTATATGAAGTATCATTTTACGGTTACATAATATTTTAAAACTAGGTTGCGGTTTCTTTTAATATTATTAAATAAGAAACGGAAACATAAGGCTTATTAGGACTTGATGAATTAAAGAAGCGGAAATTGCGTAGTTTGTAACCATGCAGTCAATTAAAAAACGCAGTATATGTAGATATAATTTCCGGTGCCTTCTTATTACACATTGCGATCAACTCTTGTTGTTAATGGTATGTACATACGTTTATTTTAACATATTGTTCAGATTTCCTAGAGAAAATATTTGGTCTGCTCCTTTTTGAAAAATATACATTTACAAGGGCTGGGATTATACCTGCTAACTTTCTCTTTGGGGCACTATGGGTTGTATGCAGGCAGATCGAAACTTGAAAACAAGGGGCAATAAAAAAAGGTTCAAGGAGGAGGCAGGCAGTTTTTCGGAAATAATTGCAGAAAGAGAAGTACTTTGCTTTTCATAACGAGTAGGCGCTCTCGTATCGGATTTGTAATTTAAGGAATATAATTTTGGGAAATCTGCACATAAATAAGGTTATGTGTAGGTTAAGGTTTTATACATTAAGTTTTTGTACATAGTGTTGTGTTTTGGAAAATACAAAGCTTTAACGCAACAAGGGTTTTTAATTTGACAATACTAGTCCATTGGTTCATCCTGAGCTAACGAGATGATGTGTAGCGAATTACGCACA